GGCAATTATATTACATGTACCCTAGAAAGTTTCTTTGAGATTTTTATAATTCAAATTCTAGAGATAAAATATAATGAATCTCAATATAATGAAATAGGTGAAGATAACAAACAGTGATCGAGCTAATAAAAAAACTACAAACAAAACAAATCTGTAAACAGGGTATAAAACAAGGACCCCTGGAAGTCCCAGAGGTGCGATCAGGTGCCTTGGAGGAGTAAGTATCCCCTGTCGACTGCTCACACACGCCGTAAGCCCTATGTATTGATCTGATAACAGAGTAATCCGTATCATTTTTTAAAAAAAATGTAAAAATGAATCTTCAATTACCCGGGAAAAATAACATGAATTATATTGGCATTTGAAGAGACGGGTTTTAAAATGTTACATTGATTCATTAACTATTAATTGAATAGTGCATTGCGATCAATTTCTTCTTTTAAGCTTGCCGTGCGGGATTTCGGTCACCTCACAATTGAAAAAAAAATGCTAGTTTTGATGTGTCATACGGTTATTCGAAAATTATTTCAATATAGCATTTTGAAGAATTGCTAGGTTTTTTTTAGTGATATCGCAATTGGTATGAATAATTAAGCGGAATATTACTACATAAATAAGGAAAGTTGACAATGGAGAAGGTGAAGTCATCTCGTTTGTCATACAATTTAGTTGCAAGCTGGCCCTTATCTTCCATAGTTAGTAAAACATCCAAAATATGAAAACAGATATGACAGATTCTGTGGTGTCTTTCTTCACTGGGATATCTCTATTCGATATTTGAATGGAAGTTGCTTCTTGTAATTAATAAAATGTCGTCGATATATCTGCATGGTTTCTTCTTCCCATGTAGAATTTTTAAATGAATTTTGCTTCATAGGAGTAGGAATATAAAAACAGGTCACAAATAAAGAAGAATAATTAGTGCCTATCGATATTCTAACAGCTCGTTGGAAGTCCTGGTCTCCAAAGACAACGTAGACATTGTTAATGAGGAACTCCAGCATTCTTTTAATCTCAACTTCAGAGTACTATGTGTAGAATCAGAGTGATTTTTAACAAAGTAATTTTGTTGGTGACCAGTCACAATGTACGAAAATTCCCGAGTTCAATTTTTATTGACGTATTTCTAATATATATAACCGACTAAGCCCTACCCTAGTCATATATCAAGGGCTCTAAATTTGAAGTGTTTATCATAAAAAGTTTGCCTGCTATATGTCGATGAATAGAGATTTTTAAAGATGTATATTCAATATATGATCAACGATGCCCATTTCTAGGGACTGAACCTATGCTCCAGGCGCAATTAATTTCAAATTTTGGTAAAAAAGTAGAGCAGTTATTAGATCATACTTGCCTGTTAGGTATTATTGTGTAAAGAAAATGTTTTAAGATATAATGCATTTTAGTATTTGACCAACTTAATCTACTGATGTGCTTGAACCTTGAGCCAAGGGACCAGAAGTATTCAGTTTTGGTAAAGGGCTCTCTGATTGTCCTAATCATGCCAACAGTTTGATTGTTTAGTGTAGAGGAGTGAAGAAGAACTTTTTTAAGAACAAAACATTATGACTTTGGCCACACCCATTCTGGTCTCAGAAAGTTGATTCTTTCATGTCAACATTCAAATTGTTAGTAGGTTGCATGCTTAGATATTTATGCTGCATGATGACAAATTTATCTTGCATATCAACATAATCTGTAGAAAAGTAACTCAAATTGCAAATAAAGGACAGAAATGTACAAATATGCATTATCAAAGTACTATAGTTACTCCAATATTTGTATCTAGATTTCATGTTTCCATAATGAAATCACTTGCAATAGGTTACATAAAAAGGGATGAAACCTGAACAATATTTTCACAAGGAAGAAGTGGGTAAGAAGGTTTAACGGAACAAATCCCTAACAAAAAAAAAATACTATAGTTAACTATAGTTTACTATAGTTAACTATAGTGATAACTTTGACACTATGAAAACTTTGATTTACTATAGTGATAACTTTGAAACTTTGATTTACTATAGTGATAACTTTGACACTTTGATTTACTAAAGTGATAACTATGAAAACTTTGATTTACTATAGTGATCACTATGAAAACTGATTTACTATGGTGAAAACTTTGATTTACTATAGTGATCACTTTGAAAACTTTGATTTACTATAGTGATCACTTTGAAAACTTTGATTTACTGTAGTGATAACTATGACACTATAGTGATCACTTTGAAAACTTTGATTTACTATAGTGATCACTTTGACACTATAGTGATCACTTTGAAAACTTTGATTTACTGTAGTGATCACTTTGACTTACTATAGTTAACTATAGTTAACTATAGTAAACAATAGTTAATTAACTAGTTAACTAAGAATTTTTTTGTTAAGGATAATTCACCAACAAATACGAAAGCCCATTGAGCTCCTATTCGTAGGTAAAAAAAAAAAATTCGCGTTAAAACGCGAAACTTTCGCGAATAAACGCGTAACTTTCGCGTTATAACGCGAAATTTCGCGAATAAACGCGAAACTTTCGCAAATAAACGCGAAACTTTCGCGTTATAACGCGAAATTTCGCGAATAAACGAGAAACTTTAGCAAATAAATGCGAAATTTTCGCGTTATAACGCGAAACTTTTGCGAATTAACGAGAAACTTTCGCGTTATAACGCGGAATTATACATATACATGTATAGTCTTGTTACTCAGAAACCTGTGATCTTGACTGACAGATAGAAAACATGAACGCAGAGGGGGACTTCTATGAACTTATAAATGACATTTCTTCAGAAGATGTAAAAGAGAATTGATGCGAGAAATGGATAGATTGGTGTTGATTTTTCATTTAATCTCAAAAAACTACTAATTAATTAAATGAATATTCCTTTAAAGATTTTCTTGTTTTTCACTTGTTGAATCCAATAAATTCTTTAGACTATTTTTTTTCTCTCAGGAAGATCTCCACTCGTTGCTTTCTTTGAATAAATTGTCAATGTTTTCGTAAGTAATGGTATGACCAAGTGGTGCAACCTTATAATACAATGTTGTATTTCTACAGTGAGTCTATTGGAGATGAATCATTTGATACGAATATTTGTCATCCAATTTTCACATTAGGTTACTCATGTGATGTGACACAATTGTTCCGTGAAATATAGAAATTTTCTGAGATTTTTTATTTCAAATTCTATAGAGAGTGTTCAATCTAATTAAAATTAGACTTGTATTTTCGCTCCTCTACTATACTACTATATATATTGAACAGCATTGAGAAAGACAAAATGTGACGGCAAAAAAGATTTAGAAAGAGGAGAGACACATTCAATGGCGAGAAAACATAAAATTTCAGCTTGTGATAATCCAAGTTCAAAATAGTCTTTTGTTTTTCATTGTAATGAATAAACTAGATCATTAAAAAGTAAAACAAACTGTAGACTTATGCAAATGTCTTTGTTTTACAGGGAAAGTTTCGCGTTATAACGCGAAAGTTACGTGTTTATTCGCGAAAGCTACGCGTATATTCGCGAAAGTTTCACGTTTATTCGCGAAAGTTTCGCGTTATAACGCGAAAAATATATTTTTTTTACCTACGAAAATTAGCTCAATGGGCTTTCGTAAACAAAGGATACATAGAAGGGAATTTTATCTCATCAGCCAATCACGTCAATTTTATTTTGAAATTTGTTTATCTGTCTGTTTTGTTCTCATCAATCAATAAAATGCAGTGCGAGAATACCGATCACTTTCTTCTATTTTAATTTTAATATTCTATTAGTATTCAAGATAAGACCTTTTAATTTTAATACAAGTGTATACATTATAAAAATATACATAGAACAAATTGAATGAATTTTGTTTAATTCTGATGGATATAAAGATTGATTGTATTGTTTGAAAGAATGGTTCCCTTGTATCAACAACAAGGTTTAAAAAATGTTTCCGTCTTCAAATAAAATAAAATCACACCTTTGATTATCGACACTTAATAACTTTTCACCCAATTCAAAATAATAATAGTTTGAAATTGCATGGGTTTGTTTTTATTTTTCTTTCCTAAGGACCTTTCTCTAAGAAAGTTATACAACGTTAAGGATCACATATTAAAATTTTCTACTTCATTTTTTACCCGGAAAATCTTCAAAGCGTTGAAAAAAAGTGTAGAGAGGGTCCTTAAACAGTTTATCTGAGCGATATAACTAACTAACTATAAACGTTATTCTGCGACAAAGACTTTGAAATTTGTTTTATGGAAATCGATAATGTTTAGCATATCATTACATCTACCATATTTAAAGTTCTCTGAATTTTTCTTACAAGTCACAAGAAATTTTGCGTAGAAAAAAAAACTTCAGTTTGATTTACTAGATAAATAATGATTGTAACTGTTTTCCTATTAATCGTCTTTTTGTGTTTCAAATTTAACCATATCTCATTTTTGAATTTTATACTCCTTTGGTGGTCTATTCAATCATTATGAATTTCACTTGAAACATATACAACTTGACATGAAAACAATAACATGAAACATACACCTTTACAATTTTATGAGCAACAAATTTACAACCCCGCAATTACGATTTCTGCCATTGCGTGGTATAGTGGGTGAAATAAGAATTCCTTGTAAATACGTGTTTGTTTATCATAAATTAATGCAAATGAAGATATAACACGTCAAAAATTATTTTCAAATCAATTGACGGCATGTTCTTTCGCCACAGAATATCTTGTTTAAGGCGCTTAAAACTTAAAAAATCGTGATTGTTCGCTACTAGAAGACAAAAAGTTACGAACACCACGTATTCAGTGCAATTCGTATCCATTTTTATCATCCTCATTAACGAGGCAATGAATTACCATTGTTATTGTATTCAAATGTAAAACCGACGACACACCCTATGGTTGAATTTTAAATGATTCTGTCATAGCAAGTCTGACATGATCTGAATTACTTATATTTTTCGGCGTTTGTTGCGGCCATTCACAACGCCAGAGACTGCCCGTGTCTCTACAAGTTTGTTGTCAGGATAAGAAATCAGGAACCGGACAAGCATTCCACCAATATGAACAGATTAACATTTTTTATTTTATTCTGTGGATTTGTATCAATTTGTGAAGGACAAGGTAAGCAGTGTTCTTAAATAAAAAAATATGCTTTTTGAAATTGATATAGCTATTGATAACATATTTTCTTACATTTTTATATTTCCTTTTCATAATTTTCCCCCAATATTTCTTACAACATTGAACTTATAATTATTAATATGATAATGCAGTGATCAATTAGCAAAACAAAAGTAAAACATACTAGGTGTACTAATTGATATATATGCGTCTAACGTGTTAACATACCTTATGGTAATTTTAACCACTGTATCTATGCAACTAAAGTGTTTTAATTATCATTGTATCATTTTAATCCTTATAACAGCGAAACAAATTGCTCATGACATAGCATTAGTTCGTAATACGCTTGTTTTTAACTTAACAATTAACAAGTGAACAAATATGTATTTTTGATGACGTGAAAACCCATGGCTTTCTTGTCTTTTCATAAACACATTTATTTTCGATAATGAATATATTATAAATTCGTTGTATGTTTTTTTTTATTTCACATTAAACAAAGCTTTGTAGAATATAATTTTGCTTAAAATCTATTTTACATTTTATATACATATACTTAAGATACAACTAATGATTTTATGGTGGGATGTGATGGGCAACAAATTTCGGGGCATGCTAACATTTGATTTCAAATGAAAATTTAATCGTTAAAAGAAGGGGGCTTGAGGGAGAGAGAGAGAGAGAGAGAGGGGGGGAGTTGAACCTCATAGATATTAAATAGAATTAGCTTAAAATTTACGTAATAGCTAAACTTCAGTTGTGAAAAATGCAGATGCAAACGTAAAACTATTAATTCTACCGACCTCATATTTATCACCAGGATACATTTGTAACCAAAACTTAGTTTAAAAGTTCATAGCATTTAGCGAATATTATGTAAAATGGAATAAAATACCATGATTCCCTTGGTTTTTTATGCTAGATGTGGATGCTTTCATCCTTTTAATTTCTTCATGCGCGAAATTTTTCAACTACCCTCAGGCTTCAACTTGAAATACAAGATATAGACCATATGTGTCAAAATTGTCTGTTTTCTAAACTATTTTACTTGAATTTGATGGATTATTTTCTTATCATTTATTTGTTATCTAAAAGAGAAAAAAAGATTGACAGAAGACACATTTAATAGTCTTTGATTAATTACCGGTTAAAAACAGTACAAAAATTCTTACTATTCAGATTTGGTGACATATTTTTGATTGGTGTCTAAGGTAATTGATAAACAATATTGATTGAGTGTTATATACTCCATTTAACTGAAAGTCAAACGCAGACGGCGGTTCATGAAGTGTATGTCGACAAAGATGCTCAAATACTTTTATGGATTCGATCTTTTAACGACTTTCAGTAAATGATTTCTTGTATTCAAGATATTCTAAGCAAGAAAACCTTAGTCACTGTGATTAACTTGAAATCGATGAGGTCGATAGAAGAAATCAATTTAGTTGTTTGTATTTAGTTTATGCACTTAGGCAAGTGAGCAAGAAATAAATTGATCCAAAATATAACGATTAAGAAATAACGAGAAACAAGAGCAAAGGAGATCTCAATGAGTATGGACTTAGCTGGTTAAATTAATGAAATAAATTTGTGAAAACGACAGTAAGTGCAAACTTACTAAATGTCTGGAAAACGCATAGGTGGAGCGCAATATACATAAAAGATGTATTCAAATTTTTTGGCCACAATACCATTCTGTGGCTTGTAGCATAATTAATCAAGAGATGCAAAATTATCGTTTCGTTAATTATCACAGATGTAATCTGAACTTGATTACTAACGATTTCTAAAATTTTGACATAATTATTTAATGGAATGTAGGTATACTTTGACAAGTAGGCGCACACAGACAGATATATTGCATTTAAGGAGGAAACTATCTGTTCATTTAATTTTAATTGGCTAATTATGGTAATAGAAATAAATTAATATATAGGTTGCGATTAATCACTTTGATGCATGCTACCAACACCTGTCACGTTCTTTAGTACAGTAAGAATACGAAAATGCATTGATCAATAAGCAATGAAATACAGGAAAATGATATCTATTTTGAGGATTTTGGCTCATTGGCAATATTGATAGTTTACATTGTCATGAATATTTTACGTGAAGAGATTTACAGCGTAATTTACAAAAAAGAATTTAATATGAAAAAAAAGATATTATGCGTTATTCATTTATGAGATATAGCATATCCCTAACGATTGTATTATAAAAAAAAGTCATTGAATTGATTTTGCTAACGTTAAAATTGAAACTTAAACTTTAAGGTAAACTATACTTTTCCCTTTTCAAGTAAGGTATCCTTCTTCCAATAACAAAAAAGTAGTATGATGCACCAGTATGTTCTTTCATGTGTCTTTTTGAATAAAGACACATGATATTAATGATATTACATTTTTCTTTAAAATTATCTAGTTCTGTTTGTGCCAAGATTGTGGATGATAAAGTTAACTAGTTTTATCAAATGAACAAAAATATTGCTTATACATTTTTTTCTGATTTTCGTGAACGTAGCATAATGCTTTGATTTGTATTTTTCGATTCTAGATAGGTATAGTTTATCACTTCACATAGAAAAAAAATTATACAGGTTCACCGTTTATATCAAACACCATTTAGCTGTCCTGAAATGTCCATGGACCTTTTTCACTACTCAGCATAGGCATATGTCCAGCTGGCAAATTTGGCAATTATTTATGCACACAGTGTACTGCCCTCTGATTCGACATCACTGTTTCAGGGCCAACACGCACTAAGCAATTCCAAGCAAACACAGCCGCCGACATCGTATGTGATACTAGGAATATCGGCGATACAGTCACGTGGTATAAGAATAATGATGTTATTACCGAAGCTACCTTTCCTAATTTGATTTTATACGAAAACATTCTCGGATTTCCCAGTATCTCTGAATCTGATAGTGGAACTTATACATGTGTAATTAATGGGGAACTCTCGACTGCTCAAAACACAATTGTTGAAGTTCTTCCGTCCAATGGTCAATCGTCTTTTGATCTCAGTCCAGGTAACAGTGCACAGAGGTGACAGAGCTTATTGTTCTGCAAAGACACATTTTGTTGCTTGTAATTTTATTTTGCATCGGATTTGTTTAGCCCACTGGTAATTTAACCGAGGAACGTAACACAGTGGCGGCCGTGGAAAAGAACTTCTTTATATGATTTATTTTTAGCCCATAATGAATAAATTCAATTAGGAAAAACATTCTTATAGCTTGTAATTGTATCAATATTTTTAAGGTCTAAAGAAGTAGCCAACATTATGCTTTTTAAAAAAACTGCTATACCGTATAAGGAAAACTAAAATAACATTGAGGATTACTAACTCAGCATGCATTGGCTAATTACTTATGGTAATGGATTTGGAAGTGCAAGCCTTATCGTACCCGGTATTCAGAATATATATTTATAGAGGATATTTACTTCTAATTAAAAAATAGCAAATAAGAGAGCTCATGTTACCTAATACAGGTTCATACTGGATTCGCAAGGTATATAAATATTTTCAAATCTATTTGCAATTTTACTTATATACTTTCTCCTTTTTTTCGTAAGGAGTATTTGATAACATGGCCAATGACCCGACACTACTTTTGGAACCAAATCCACGTGCAGGTTTGTTACCACCATCAAAACCATCAAAACGGAAGAAGGCCCTTCTCCCCTCTATGGAGCCCGTACAACGAGAACCAACTAATATTCAGGTTGATGTACCTATGGAGCCTCCTATCCAAAATCCTGACATACCGTTTCCCGATACAACGATTGGGCCCTTAGACCAACCGATGGGACCAACGGACCCACCCATGATAAACCAACCTATGGGACCACCAGAAACACCCATGATAGACCAGTCTATGGGACTAACAGACCAACAAACGGGACGAGTAGACCGAATGGGACCACCAGACCAACAAATGGGACCAGTGGATCCTCCCCCTCCACCAACTACACTTCCCCCAGAAGTGCCTAGGGGAAATTCCCAGTTTTCACTTACAGGCTCAGAAGTTGTTAAAGAATGGCTCCCTTCTAACTTTCAAGAAAATATCCCAGGTTTAGATGCAATGATGCCCTCTGATCCCGCAATACCACCTAAGTCTGTGAACCAAATTTTTAACCGTAACTTGGGGTCTGTCCAACTTCCGAATTCTGGCGGAAGAAGAATACCAAATGCACGACGCAACAATGAACGACCTATAGTCGATTCACAATTTCCAGTTCAAGATATTGCAAATGTAGTTCCAGTGCAAGATGCCATGGGGATGGGCGAAATGCCAGTCACAGATACAACAGGCATGGACCAGATGGCTAATGCCGTTGAATTGGGCAATAATTTTGGCAATTTCCCGGAGTTTGGAAATGCCATCGACATGGCATCACCCGCGGAAAGGGGAACCAAAATCCTTGATATTGCTTCAGGCATAGTTCCCCTGGAGCCTAATGCAATTCCAGGCAGCCAGAGAAATGAACAAGAATATACTGTTTTCCATGAAATGAAATGCCGCCTCAGAGCTCATTTTACACCTGCTGGAATAGACCAGACAAGATACGAAGAGTATCTTAATGGAGATTGGAAAATTAGGTATTGTGCTCCGGGTTCTGGTTACAACGTAACGACATGTGGCTGCAACAATATACTAACAGGTACTATAACTTTATTGATCAATCAATACCATACTTTATTGTTTAAAAATGAAGAATTTGTAAGATAACAATGAAGAGTTGCTATGAAGTGATGTATGAGACAATCTGACAACATACACACATTATCTTCTACATACTAAACAGAATGATTTGCATCTTAGACCGTAAAGACTTATTTACAAAGATTGTTTTCGAAGATATATGATTAGTTGAACTTATTTCTTTTCTTTTTTTTTATTCTGCTGTTGAAAACGTTAACTATTTACGGAGTAATGTAAAGATGTATATATACCCTATGAATATTATGCAATATGTAAAGACCTCAAAATTATGTAGATAGGAAGCACAGCAATATTATAATTATTTAGCGCCAGTCTTACATTTTACTCAGCTTATAGATACGCATTTTTGTTGCAAACCAACTGACATTTGAATTATGTTATCAAAGTGCACATATTGATGAGAATGAATTTGTCACCGTGTGCTTGCATATATCTCAATATTAAATATTATATTTTAGAATATTGTGTTGCTCAACCAAATCAATCTCTCGATGTTTGGCTCATTAACAAAGTTTAATCCCCCCCCCCCCCCAATGCATTCAACTGCTAGTATGTAAATGTTAATAGAAATACACTTAAATGAATACCGTATTACAAGTATTTTTTTTTTCGAGGTAATCCAATTTTTGCTTTCTTTGCATGCACTTTTAACTTGCAAAAAAAAAAAAAAAAAAAAAAAAAAAAAACTAAGTTTGCATAAAATTGTCAACAGTTGTTTTTATCATTAAGATTACGTCACTAGATACATTGTACTTCTAATTAACCACTGGGAGTATGACAAATTGGAATAAGAAAATAAAAATTACAGTATTTTGGACAATTTTTTTTTTATAAAAACCGTGATACCTACAGAAAAGATCATCATAATAGATGAAATATTGCAGAATATCTACCGTGAAAAACGTGCAGCGAGCATTATAATATTTGACAGTTATAAATAACAAATGACGATCATTTAAATAGCTTTGAAATTCATGCTTATAAACCCAACATTGCTTTTATAGGTCGCTATCCTTTGACCAGACCCATGAGCGAATGCAGACCGGAAATAGCTCTTATTTTCCGAGGAAATCAGATAATTAATACAGCCGGAAGTAATGATTCTGTAGACGCTACTGGTGTTGACATACGTGACAGGAGCGCATACTTCGACGGAAGCAATCGTTTGTATTTTTGGAAATACCAGTATTATGAGTACGATGACAAACTCCAGATCAGCTTTAAATTTAAGCCCAAGCCAGGTCTTAGAATGGAACCCTACACTCTTGTAAGCAACTGTGAAGGCGAAAATGAGCCATCCTTTGGGATTGTTCTAAACAGCTTTGATGATGTTGCAACTTTTTTCATAAAGACAGATGAAGCAGAAAACCAAGGATTTTTTACAATTGAAATTGATGTACGTATATTTTTTCACAAATATTCCAAAAAGATATTTGAACAAAAGAAAAGAAAGCTTAAAAAGTTTTCAAAAATAAATGTATATTTCACTGGAAGAGGAATGGTTGTCAGAGGATTTTTTTTAAAATGAAATACGAAACCTCCAAATATACTTTGTTACATTCTTTTGCGCTTTGAAAATTGTTAAATCAAACTATCCTTAACATTGGTGAATTTTCAAATCTTCATTTTCAAGTGATTGTATCTCCAAAGGTAAAATTTGTAAACATATCAAAACACATTATCTATACATCAATATATTGTCAATATCAAAATGATGTCATATCTAACATTCTATTTCAGCCAAACACATGGAATGACGTGTATTTCAGATACAAGAATGGACAAATGATAGGAAAAATTAACGATAAAATAGCAGTAAAACCACTAACGGGTAAGCAAAATATAAAATTGTATTTCAATTTTTAAAAAAAATTCATTTCCTTAACTTGAATTTCCTTAACTATGGTGATAATCTTATTCTTCTTTCACAATTTATTAATTGAAATTTTCGTGTTTCATTTTGATATCATTTTGTTAAATTTTTTCGTTAATCTTTTTCAGGGAGAATTCAGAAACGGCCTGATACAATGGTGTTTGGTAGTTGCAATAGATATGGTAATTTTACAGGACAACTCAGAGATGTAAGTGGTTTCTTATTTTGTTGACATATTATTTTTATCCCCGTTTGAAAAATGGGGGGGGGGTATATGTGATGGGATGTTCGTCTGTCCATTGTGCTTCTGGACAACCATCTCTAATCCGGACTCATCTTATACCACTAAATAAAATTTATTGAGACTTTCACAGAATCTTTGTTACATAGTGCTATTGTACACCCCCTATATTATTTTTTGATCGGACACATGTTTCGGGTTTCCTAAAGCAAAACTTGGACACTGCAATTCTTTTTATAAAATTGGGAGTACCCATCTTTTATCTGCAATATCCTTCTATACCACTGAATAAAATTTAATGATACTTTCACAGAATCTCTATTAGATAGTGCCATTGTGCACCTTCTACTTCATGTTTTGATCAGACAGATCTTTGGCCTTCCCCATAGCAAAAAGATGGACTTTGCCATTATACTCATATGGGAGTGGGGGTATGATTTTGTAAGTTCAGTGCTCACAGTACCTCTAGTTTAAATTACATGTATTTTAATCCATCTAAGTATGTTTGATTTGTGAAAAGCGTTCATACACCCCCACCATTTCCACAATTTTTATCATATCTTAAGTAAATGCATGGTAAACAGTATTAATGTATTATGATATACACAGTATATATAAATTTAGTATGTGTTTCATTACAGATTACTACATACACAAAATGTCTACCTCCGTTAGACAGACAAGTGGAAAGAAAACTTGGGTGAAAGTTTTAAGAAAGACTACTAGTTGACTCTAATATGTTCTGTGTTCAGTAACAAAGTGAAAATAAGCTGCTTGCGTTAGAGATGGAAGTAAACAACATCAGATTATGAAAAAGAAAAACAACAACCACACTGGCAAACGTCAAAACATTTCTCGAATTAAAAGAAAAATTAATGGTAATGTTAAGATCTAGACGAGAAGGTATTACCTGTCTATTACGTATGGACTTTTAGCAGGGTTCACTAATTAAACTGGACCATTAACCTTTCGGCGCCATTCACGCACGCGTAATATGCTAATGTAATTATGTTAATATTCTCTGTCACTGACTTAATATTTGTATCCCGTGTTTATATCTTATTCTATAATGTAAACCCTGAATTGCCTCACAATCACTTCATTCTGTTCTGTACATTATATTGTGACAATGATTTATCATCATTTTTTTAGTTTCATTTCATTTTTTTTTCATATTTATGTATATGATACGAGTTTGTCTTCAGAATCAGAAGTTCGTGAACTGTATAATGCGGTATTTATATTTTCTTAAAGAAAGGCGTGGAAAGTTAATTTTAATCACGTTTTCGTGTGTTGTTTGTTGATATATTTATAAATTAAACAATAAATTCTGTATCAGATTAATTAATTATGAAACGAACAGGATGAGCAGTGAGAAACGTATATGGCTTGTCATGCATTTTAAGAGGAATGTATCATTTCCTTCTCTTTTTTGAAAAACCAAAATTCGAAAAGATTTGTTGTATAATAATAAGTATTTATTATTTGAAAGATTTTTTTCTTTATGCTCTTCTTATAAATTTGAAACGTCGTGTTTGGATAATGTTATATACTGCTATACTATATATGGCATATTTGGCATTGTTTGATTCCTTGGAAAAAATTGATGCAATTTGTACATTGTATTCAATAAAAATAGTTTATTCCTATTTGTATTCATATTCATAATCCCTTAGTATTTTGCTTTGACGTTCGCTAATGATTTTCCAGTAGAAATTTAATAAAAATGCACACAATTTCGGAACACCCTGTAAGGCAAAATGTACCAGAAATGACGTTTTTACTTGACGTTCTTATAAAGGATTTTATTCCTTTATCCTGATAAGAGTAATCTTTCGAAGGGTCAATGCAACTTACGAGAACTAGATGCTGTCATAAGATTGGGTTAAAATGAAAATCTTTAAGTCTAATTACATATTTACAGGACACCTTCAGTCATATTCCCAAAGGAGATTTGGCTACTGCGTAAAACATAAGAAGAGTTCTAGAAATCGGGTTTTATAGAAAAATGTTTCTTATTCCAATTTTCCCAGGAAGATAATTGAAATCCCCTAACCTTGTTGCACATGTACAGGACATCCAATCATATTTAAAAAGACATTGCGAAAAAGTGAAGAGTTCTGGGACCCAATTTTTCTTTGTAGAAAAATGTCATTTTTGGATGCAAAATGAAAATTCAAAAACCTTATTGCACATCTTCAGGACACATATTCTAAAAGACGAATTGAATACTGCTTAAACTGCAAGTGGAATTTGAGGACGAAGAATACAAATGCTCAATGCTACTTACCAACTTAGAGAGGCAAAAAAAAAAAAAAAAAAAAAAAAAAAAAAAAAAAAAAAAAAAAAAAAAGGAAAAGATATAACACCAAAACTGAAGCATTAGAAGTTTTAGATTCTATATATACATATTTGTTGTTATTTATTTATTTATTTTTTTTTTTTTTGGTTAAATTAAACAATAATTTATTCACGAAAATGAATGGGATTGGGCAGCAGCCGTAGCTTATGTTTGTTTCTTTGCAATGGGTACTTCATTGACGGAGCTACTGAGGTGCCAAAGAGCAAGGTTTACTGAGGGCCTTTTCCTAAAACTTCCAAACTGTTCTATTTTAAGTGAAAATCAAGTATTATTAGGACTCTTTGTCACAATATGTTTTTAAATGACCTTATTTTCTTGTTAGTCTATGAATAATGAAATGCATCATTATTCCCATTTCCAGATTTCTTAGAAATGGCAAATATCAAAATTTTAAATAGAGAACAACCTATGATCTAAAATGTTCCAACTTATGTTTATAGAACTGTAAAGTAAATTATAAAGCATGTTATGTCTAATTTCAATCTCCATCGAGGGGTGTTCTCATATGCGAATATACCCCAAATACAACAATTTTCTGTAAAATGCCAAGACTTTGGAATTTTACAAATTTTTTCCTTTTCGCATCAATTCACCTCCTTTCCATTATGTGGATTCTCAAACGAAAGTTCCCTGTGTGCAGTGAAAGTATGAAGTCTCTACTTTAATTAATGTTTTAAAGTGGACATTTTGATAGAATTCATATCTAAGTCTATAGACAAGGTCATTTTACTCATAAAGTAAACCTTTTTTTGTTTTCAAAGACATTAAAATTCGGTTTCTCTTTTAATTAATGCATTTTGCTAAATGTAATAAAAGGAAAACAGTTTCTCATGAAATCGAATATCATATTGGTTGTGTAAATCAGCATGGTTTATAATTAACAGCTCATCTAGTCGATTTTAAAGATATATCCAGGTCGAAACAGAAGTATATATATATATATATATATATATATATATATATATATATATATATATATATATATATATATATATATATATATATATATATATATATATATATATATATATATATATATATATATATATATATATATGAGATGATTTGTTCTTATAATACAAAGGTTTACACATATCACATATATTTATATTTGAATTGATACATGTTGAACTTCTAAATCATCTGATTTTCTCAAAATCCTTTTTACTTTCATGATTATTTCTGCATAAATGGATCTTTATAATTCTTTTGCTGGACGTTGAATTACAAAAAAAACAATATTGCATTATTTATGTTCATCTAATCACGACAAAGTTTGCAATTATTCATGAAAAAAATATGCTTATATTTAGGTCTCATATTCCAAAAAAGGAAAGCAAAAAGTGACTTTAACTGCTTTGTAATCCTTTCAAATAAATTCATTCGTTAATTTCTTCTAACAAATCTATGTAATTTTGAATAAAATTTCATTTAGTGGCATGTTAATTTGGTATTCCTTACAATGCATCAATGACGTCTAACCCTGATTTTAAATTCTTAACAGGCAGCTTCTGTCCGGTAATTACCTGTCCTGAATGTAAAGTTATTTACCGACTTCTGTGATATGTCTTAGATTAACCCTGTAAAAGTTTCCATTATTTTTGTTAAATGTTTTAATTTGAATTCTAAAGCTGTATCTGAACACTAAAAAGAAAATAAAAATTTAATACACGCACGAAAATATGCATTAGGTCAGCAATCAAGATTTTCAGATATTTATAAAACGTCTTCATGCACAATAAAGTCATGGAAGAAAATTTCATTCTAGGCGTACATTGAAATCTGGTTATAGTAAATTTTAATCACATTAACCTCTGCATAAAAGGCACTCCCCCCCCCCCAAAAATAAATAAATAAATATATATATATATATATATATATATATATATATATATATATATATATATATATATATATATATATATATATATATATATATATATATATATAAGGGACTTTTCTTGTTTGAAGGAATAGGAATTCAGGTTCCCAAAATACAGCAGTTTTCAAAGTATCCATAAAATCTCTAAAATGCCTTTTACTGAAATGAGTTGGATTGAATAAAATACTATAAATTTAATTGTAAGCAAATATTCCCAGAAGAAACATTTAGCCTTAAGGTATCAGTCCCGATTCTTCAAAAGCATAACGCTTCAAAAATGATCTGAACCTTTAACCTGCCTCTTTGAAACTTAGATTTCAAACACCTACGCTGCATAAATAATGCAAATGATCATCTACCGTTTCTAAGTTGATGTCAAAGTCATGTCCCAGTGGATTAACACCTGAAAAGAAAACCACTGTAATTTCCTTTTTTGCCAAAGAAGCCGATTACTTTACTTCTTACATTTTATTGCATCTGTGTTTTAATTTCTGCTTTCAAGAAATTTCTTTAATGTCAGAAGAATTATCTTTCTTTTGTTATTATTTCATTAGCGATCTTAAATATTATATTTTTTATATTAAGATAATCGCCGAAGAGATAATTATTTAAGAGGCTTAGAAACATGAAACATGATTTTGTTAAAAAAAAATGAAAAAATAGAATAAAGAAGTTAATTTAAGATAGATGAGCAGTTTGTTGAAAATTTAAAAAATAAGACAGTGGTACTTTATCATTATTTTCCAGAATTTACTTTATTTAAAGGATAAATATATATTTTCATAACTGTTTTCTTAATATATTGAAATTAAAGCGAGGTTTTTCCCCTAATTTGTCAATTGTCACCCTTATAAAAAACAGACTCCCCCAACAAACACCCCCCCCCCCAAATGAAAGTTTCTGAGATATATATTATCTATATTTCCTTTAAAAGGATTACATTCTTCAAAATCACTTTTCAGTTGGAAATACTTTTAATAGTCCAATGTAGGAAAGTAAATTTGATTTAAGTGCATATGCTAATTCCAAAACTTCATAAAAATCATGACAAAGTAAATTACAGGGACCAGTTATTGTTCTGGCAAGCCTTCACAAAAATATTGACTGTCGTGAAGGAAAAACTTCGGACATTCTGCTATTCGACATTTTCAAGAAGCGTTGAACATCAATGTGGATCCTCAAAATCCCTAAGGGACTTTTTTAAAAATTGAAAACATATTTTCCCCAAATCAATAACATAAAACGTATTATTTTTAAACATTCTTTACAACTTTTTCCTCAAAACAAATTAAAGGCAAAGAATTTTTTTTACATCATAAACAACTACTCCTTCAATAAAAAAGGAACTCGGAAATTTTCATATCATGTGATTGGTCATCTACAAAATTGCTAAAATTAAATGAAAAGATGACGAACATTAAGTAGGTTCAACAGTCCAATCAAACAATAAGAAATTGAGAACAGAAAAAAATCCGGACCCCTGACAACATTAGAAGAGGGATAAGATTTAGACATCTCCTGTCGTTATGTCACACAAGTCGTTGTAAGCGTTTACTTTGTCTTTATCGAGTATTCGTAGGTAATTCAGAATGAAAATAATGGCCTAATTATTTCTTTTGAAAAATGTTGGTTTTATAAACAAGGTCATTGTATCGACCATAGAACTTGGGAAAGTTTGACTTTACAGGAAAATGTTGATAAGTATCCTTAAGTTATTTGTGTGAGACACACCTCGGTTTAGAAATTTTTTTATGAGAACATGATCTTGTGAATCGAATCAAGTTGGAGATAAAAAGATCATATGCGAAGTTTGACTTTACAGGAGATTTTTGTGTGAGACACACCTCGGTTTAGAAATTTTTTTACGTAGAACATGATCTTGTGAATCGAGTTGGAGACAAAAGATCATATGCAGGTGATAATTGTATATTGCTACATAAATAGAGGAAGTTGATGGTACAAAAATTTAATTCAAGACGTTTATCATAAATATAAGTTGTTAGTTTGCCATCAATGTATTTCTCTAGTAAAACATCCAAATATGAAACAGATGTGTAAGATTCTGCAGTGTCTTTATTTTTAGCTCAATTGAATACTGTATATATCGAATCAAGAAAGGAATGATACTACATATTGTTAATTGACAAAACGTCGTCAATATATCAGATAATCTATTTGTCGAATGATTGATTGATTGTATGTTCTTTTACGTCCTATTCGAGAATTTTTTTTCTCTTACGTCACCATATACCAGTGAAAGGCTTCAAATTTAGACCTTTACTCGGCGCTTAGGACCATTGGGCAGTTAGGGATCTTCATCGTGGCATCGCCTGTCGTGACAGGGGGCCTCTGTGATTTAGGTCTCATCCGTAAGACCCTAATCTTTTACATCAAAGTATCTAGCG